ATTTAGACCCCCGAAGACCCCTGTCTCCTGATCTGCCACAGTTTTGGTCAGGTTGTGGGTCAAAGCCACACACTCAGTTGACCTTACCGTTACGGTTGTGGCTCAGAGGCAGAGTGGGTCGTCCACTAATCGGAAGGTTGTTGGTTCGATCCCCGGCTCCTCCTGTCACATGTCGAAGTATCCTTGAACAAGATACTGAACCCCAAATGCTCCTGATGCTGTACATTGTTGTATGTGTTAGTTTCTGTTCGATGTCATCACTGTGTGAATGTGGCATGTAGTGTAAAAGTGCTTTGAGTGGTCAGAAGACTAGAAAGGCGCTATACAAGTACAGGCCATTTACCATTTTACCATCCACTGTAACCTCCTCATTAGTTATAATGTCATGAAGCACGCTGATCTAGAGAAATATTCATGGGATGTCCAGAGGGTGGCCTGGAGACTTTAAGGGTTTCAAGGGGTCAGAAATATCTGCTGATTTAATCACAGACAATCTCCTATATGAATATTTCTTTCTTATTCCAAATGAAGATATTTGAACTCACAAACATTATTGTGGCACATTAGTAAAGCACCAGATAGAGATGGCATTAGAAATCAGTACATTATTTTATTTCCAAATCTTCAGATATTTTTCCAAATAATGTTTATTTTTATTGAACTTAATCACTTAGTTTAAACTGTGGCCATAACAGTCATTAAATTTTTTAAATTTTTTTTAACATGTTATTTTTTATAAAATAATCTAAATCAACACTACACCTGGGTGGCAGCTGAGGGGGCAGCCATTTTTTAGGAGTGGCAGCTGCCATCCCTCTAGAAACACACACACGTCAACACTGTGTGTTTACAGAGAATTAAAGGTGTGTAACATTTAGGAGGATCTATTGTCAGAAATTGAATATAATATTCCTTGCTATGTTTTCATTAGTGTATAATCACCAAAAAAAAAAAAAATTTGTGTTTTTGTTACCTTAGAATGAGCTGTTAATATCTAGAGAGGGAGCGGGTCTTCTTCTGGTGGAGTCCGCCATGTTGAACTACCATATTTCTACAGTAGCCCAGATATGACAAACCAAACACTGGCTCTAGATAAGGACCTTTGCATCGTAGTTTGCTTAAAAATCACTTAATAGTTAAAATGTTTTATACTAGCTTGGTTATACCTGATAACAAAAGGCAAAATTGCTCAATATACTTCATATTGATATTCTGAACACTGGCCTTCAATGGGTTGATCTGCCTTTATATCTCCTGCATGTGAGTGTTTGCATATATGGTTGATTAAGTGCTTGCAACATCAGAACAAAAGTGACACACAGGTGACCCCAATAGACCTGACATAGGCCTAATCAACCTCCCCTTCACACACACACACACACACACACACACACACACACACACACACACACACACACACCACACACACGTTTACACTAGCTCCCTGCCCGCCCTGTGTAAATCCCAGGCTGCTCTGACAGGCCACATTAAGAAGAGCCTGCTCAGCATGAACACATCATAAAAGTGGACATGCAATTTCTGTTTTCACCAAATAGCCAGCCGAGCTCGTTCTGCATCTCTGCTTTTAATACACTCGACAAGCAGCTTAGCAGCCAGGGAGAGAGAGAGCTTAGGCCCCAGGGAGGGGGGTTGGGGGTGGGGGGCGAGACTGTGTGTATGTGAGGAAACCGAGAGAGAGAGAGTTATGCCTTCCAGCACTGCTAAATCCATTTCTCCATCTGAATTATCAACTAGAATTTGATTAATATGCAAATTCAGAGGGGGGAGGGAGAAAGTCTGGGATAATTCTCTTTGTGGATAGTAATTAATCACCGGTTAAAGTAAATTAATACATATATCAATTTTGTCAGGGACACGCTTAGTTCAATAGCCCGTAAAATTGAAGTTTGAAGTGTTAAGGGGCTCTACAGGAACGTTATAACTAAAACTTTCAAATCCGCCCTATTTAGTGATCAATCAAGCTGTGCCCTGCGGCAGAGGAGCTCATTTCTTCAGCTTTGTCCTGACACACACACACACACACACACACACACACACACACACACACACACACACACACAGAGTGCAGACGGCTGCTTAACACACACTACTCCTCAGTCAGAGCTGCAGCACACTCACACTCAGCACAGTTGTAGTAGCACACTACAGCACAGCACAGCACAGCAGAGTTGTACAGTACAGTACAGTTCACTGCAGCACAGTACAGGACGGCACAGTACAGTACAGTAAAATGATGATGGTGGTGATGAGAATGATGATGATTGGACGGACTGTGTTTACTGATTTTTAGATGCAACTGATCAAAGCATTGTGTAGTATAATCACACTATGTAATGCAAAAACAACAATTAATTAATTAGTATTAATATTGTGAGGATGTAAGACGTTCCTGCAACCTACAAGCACCTGATTGATACAATTGGCTGTGCACCTTGAGTACTGTTCTTTGTCATTATTATTAACAATAATCAATATTTTATTATTATAAGTAGTATTAGTATTTATTTATTTTATGAAAACAATAATGATCTACAAATCTGCATTTCTTTCTACAACTACTGCTACTAATGTATGTCAGTCAGTAATTATCCCATTTCAGAATTCCTCTTAAATACTTTTCTATTTTATTTATTAAGTAACCCTTTATTTGGATAGTCCACCTAGTTTATAGTATTTGTAACAGTTTTAAAGCTTATTTGTTGAGATTCAAGAACCATTTTCTGATATTACACCCCTATGGTTGATTAAGGTATGTTCATGAATAGTCACATATACTCTATAGATAATGTGTTTAACATCTGCATCTGAAAAACTGCTGAAATATGAGTGTTGTTATTATTATTATTGAAAAATATAATAACAACAATATTATTAATAATTATTATTATTATTGTTATTATCATTTTCTATCCATAAACAAGACAGTAATGGAAAATTGGCCAATAATTTAAATAACAATAAGTTAAACAATAAAAGCTCAAATTTTACATCATGAATTTAATACTTTCTCATACTACTGCTGTTATAACAACAACAACAACAACAACAACAACAACAACAATAACAATAATAATAATAATAATACACTTGTAATGCTGATAAGTATGTCTCTTGAATATAAATATATTTGGCAGGTCCCAGATGGTCGCAGCCAGTTGTTAAGAAGTATGTGTGTGTGTGTGTGTGTGTGTGTGTGTGTGTGTTGGGGGGTGGCGGTGTCAGGTCCAGTTGTTTAAGCAGGGGGCCATGCATCAAACTTCAATTTTCCGGCCGATTGAATAAATGATTCCTCTCTTTTCTCTCTCTCTCTCTCTCTCTCTCTCTCTCTCTCTCTCTCTCTCTCTCTCTCCAGCAGTGTGGTCCATGTTTACTAATGAAAAGCTAAAACACTCAGAATGTCCAGAGCGCCATCTCACACTGTGCACTCAGACACACACAGAGGATCTGTGTTGGTACATGGTCTACTGTAGGCCTACATACTCCGAATGTGCACGATGGACATTAAATACAGAAACACAAGACAGCTCTTACTTTGGGGAAAACAAACTTTTTTATTTATAAATGTTGTTATTTATTTTAATTTAATTAATTTATTAATTGAACTCAGAAGGTATTTTAGCACCAGGGTTGGGAGGGTTACTTTAAAAATGTAATCCGATACAACTACAAATAAAAAAATGTAGTCAGTACCCTAATCCAAGTATCACAATATTAAAGTAATGCTTACTTTCCGTTACTTTGGGATTGCTAAATATGCAAATAAAAACGAGAGAGAAAACAAATATTAATAAGAATTATTGATGTGTATTATATTAGACAACACAACAATGTAACTTTAGAAAAACAAGATTATGATCGTCAGAAATGTGTCCTATGCTCAGTGTATTTTAAAAGAAAGTCTTTTATAATTCAGTTACATGTAATCCGTTACTCCCCAAGCCTGTTTAAAACATAATCAACATGTAGATGAATGTATGTGTCTGAAGGGTTTGTTAATGGCATCATTATTATTATATCATTTATGAAATCACCTGTTTTTATTTATTAATTAGAAGAGGAAGAACATCCTGTAAAAAACAATTGTTGGTTTGTTTACATGTAAATTATCTCTCTGACTGAGGAATAATAAAGACTTTAGATTTTTCTCGTCACACTAGGAACCGTTTTTTAAAAATATATTCCATAACAACCAACGGAAATCACAGAAAAATGTGGTATATGGGAATTCTACAAAAAACCCTCAAATAACTGCAGAGCTACATTGTCACTGATACAAATGTTCCAAATGTTGGTGTTTTGTTTACACTATATAGCTCTATGTATGTGCTGCGAACTGCGGAATACATAAACAAAATGCTGCAAGTGGCTGATGAAGAGCAGATGAAGTGTGTGACTGAGTGCTCTGTCATCATCGAGTCAATTATTTGCGCGCTCAGACCGGCCCACCGAGCCGCATTCACATTCATGGCCGTGTTTTAAAGCAGCGGGCCCGGGGACGGGCGAGCATGTCTGCATTGTGTGCGACAAAGAGCGGGTCGAGTCAATCCATCAAAGTGACGCGTAAATGAGAGGAGAATCCCGAAACCATATGGCCCCGAAACACTCTCCTCTGGCCGCCTTTGTGCGCCGAGACCCGCCGGACTGGAGGACCGCTTGTCTCCGTATTGCGCACTGCTGGAGAGCGGCCCCCGGGGGGAACACACACACATACACACACACACACACACACACACACACACACACACACACACACACACACACACACACACACACACACACACACACTGGGCCTCTTCTTCTGCTCCAGATTGTGTTTCTCACAGAGAAAAATGAAAATACACGCAGGAGGTCAGAAGGCAGCGGATTCTGCACCACAATCCACCAAACACATCTTTTCCATAAAAAACTGCAAACTCCTCCATAGAGATCATTTATATAAAAATGTGAAAGTCTGAATATTTGAAAATGTGTTTTTATTTTCCATTGTCAGTGTTACAATATTAAATTACAGTTTGTACAGTTTATGCGTTCTGTATATTCCAAAGGCACTTAAAGGTTGTACAAAGCATTATAAATATATTAAATCGTTATTTATTACAAGCTTTTAGCAACACATTTCCTGTGTGTGATTATCATGATATATCAAAAAGCTGAAAAGAGTCGGCTCCAGCTTATAAAAGTGATTTGTAGAAGCCTTTTCCATCAATTTTAAAATAAAAGCAAATGAAACATGCGGTGAAATATTTCAGTGATTGTAACCAGAATAAGGGACTGGACTGTGTGTGTGTGTGTGTGTGAGTGTGAGTGTGCACCTGCATGTTTGCCTCCTTCCTTCTGAGTGTCTCTCTGTCACGTGTCACGCGCTTTCTGGGCGCGCGCATGAAAGGCAGAAAGCAGCGGGTCTATGGCAGCTCTCAAATCAAACATTCTGGATAGTTTGATCGCACCGTGTCCGTGCGTAAAAGATGGAATCCTCGTAAAGTTTCTGCGTTATTTGGCACTTCACATGGCTGAGTCTTTAGTCATCCACGTCAATCTCCTCATCTTCGTCCTCTGAGCAGCACTGGCTGCTCAGCCGGTCCGTGTACCACGACGAGGCGGGTGAATGAGGCGACATGTGCGCTCTGCTCGAGTCGAGATTCTCGGCAGTGTCGTGGTGGACCCTGGTGGAGGCCGGTTCGGGCTTCGTGTGGCCCGGCGCTGTAACCGGCCCTCCGCCCATACCTCCGGCCGCGCACTTCTCCAGCTCAGCCAGCTTTGAGAGCTTCTCAAAGGCCACAGGGCCCGCGGCCTTGGCGGACTCCACGTCCGCTTTCATCTCCTCCAGGTCCCGCTTGAGCTTTGCCCGCCGGTTCTGGAACCAGGTGATGACCTGCGCGTTGGTCAAACCTAGCTGCTGGGCGATCTGGTCCCGGTCCGCCGGGCTCAGGTACTTCTGGTACAGGAAGCGCTTCTCCAGCTCGTAGATCTGGTGGTTGGTAAACGCCGTGCGGGACTTTCGCCGCTTCTTAGGGGTGTTCCTCTGGCCGAATAGCGTCAGACCGTCTCGGCCTAAGAGAGAGGGATAAATGGGTCAGTGAGTGTCAGTTCAACAAACCCTGCAGCAAAGCACCTGCGACCAAAACTCAATTATTAGCCACCACAAACTCTAGTAAAATACAGGTAGAATAATGGACTAGAATGTTTCCATTCATTCATTCGTTTCATTTATTTTGCAACTCACGACCATGATCACATGGTATGGAACATAAACAGAATACACAGTAATAATATTCAATTAATATAATCAATTAATTAATTCAACCTATAGTCAGTCTGATCGATTATCAGATATAGCTCTTCCTGAACAGATTTCTTTATTCTTTATAAAACATAACATTTCTCCCATTTTCCTGCATGATAACTTTTTTTGAAGTATGGAATTAAGAGTTCCTTTGCAACAAAAGATAAAGGATTCTTAAAATCACCAAACCAGCACCAGTTTGATTGATAGAGATGGAGATAGGCCTATCTGTTTTTGCAGATGAACCCCAACTATTTAATAGTTAGGCTACTCTAAAATCCCGTCCTGTATGTGCATAAAAAAAGACTGAAAATAAAAATTTGAAAAATGATAGTTAAGTTATTTTAATTTAAAATAACCGAATAATGTTTTGGGCTTTATTTCAATCGATCACAATATTTTAGTAATGCAATACTGTTACACATGCCTTTATCTAATGTAAATGCATAGGCCAACTCTGACTGCACTTTTATGCACGAAAAAAGGTGTAAAATGATTGTGGATTCACAAATAATAAATAAAAACTATAAATAAATTACAATCTATTATTATAGACTACATACTATTATTATCTATTTTAATTAAAAAAAAAAAAAAAAAACATTTTCATAAAATAAAATACTGCTATTACAACACAAGTACAGATAATGTGCGTTATAATTCCCATAAAACCAAGACAACGAACTGGAGGGAAGCAGTCCATTACCCTCGGCCGCCTGCAGGACGCTGACCTCCAGCCCCTTGAAGGTTTTGCTGGCCAGCTCCTCCAGCGCGCACAGCGGGGAGGTCTGACTGAGCAGCGCTCGGCTGGACAGGCTGTGACCCGCCGAGGGCAGCTTCTCTCCGGGAGAGATGTGGTGTGCCGCCGCGCTCAGGGAGTAGCTCCTTCGCACGACCGGCTTGCTGAGGATGTCCTCGATGCTGAAAGGCGTCAGCGGCTTGTTGGAGTTGGCTGGCGGCGGGAGCTGATCCAGCGGACTGCGCCTCCGCTCCTCCAGCACCGCTGGGCATTTGGAGTCCTCCTTAGAGGTCATGGTGGCGCAGCGGGTCACACCTGACTGTGGTGATTTAGACAAGAGCGATTAAAAGCGGGCACAGGCTGTGGTAAAGTTGCATACACAGAGAGACGCAGGGCGGTGGAGATAGTCCGCAGCTCGGATCACAGGTGTCTCTCCAGCTGCATGTTGTCCGCTCAGCTGCGAACTGCAGGGACACTTCTGACTTCCAGTCCCACCACCACGTCTCCGAGACACTTATCCAGGGTGACGCACAACGAGGCACGAGACGAACCCATCCGGTGGACGGTAATGCAACAAAAGGAGCAGCGATTGACCACCAGTAACAAGTTATTGCTGACTGGAAGGCAATCAATTACTCTCTCTCTCTCTCTCTCTCTCTCTCTCTCTCTCTCTCTCTCAGAATGTGTGATGCAGTCAGATACCGGGGAGCGGTAATTAGAGGGCACGGTGGAAAGGAGGAGTCCAATTAGAAAGAGCAGCCCCACTTAACACTTTCTCTCTAAAATTAGGTCATTTGTCACAAAAACAAGCAAATGTTTCTCTCAGCGTGATATTATCCTCATTTGCATACGCGGCCTAATTGGCACCGCGCGTCTGATCACCGGGCGAGCTCGTGCCAATTTGGATGAACCCGCTCTGCGTCAATCTTCAGGCCAATTACACTCAGGAACACAAATGATAAACTCCCATAAGCCGAAAACAATCACCTTCAAATCAGAGAGCGCACTTTAGAGAGAGAGAGGGAGCCATATATCAGCATGATAACACTTGAGAGAGACAGGCAGAGTGACAGAGGAGGGCATCACCCTGGCCTGAGCACACCTCCCCCCTCCCTCCCTCCTCCCTTCTAAAACCATGTTATAACTCAGCAGCAAAGAGCCGGGCTCCCCCGGAGCTCAGCTCTCCCCGACGGTGCAGAGAGGGCCGCTGTCGACGCAAATGTTAGGGGACATTTTATTTTAGCTGTCTGAAATTGCTTGCAACATTCATATTCTCACATTATAACTTTAACACTCTAAAATATATGGAGGAAGTAAGCAAACACTAATGCAAACATGAGTTGTTGTTTTTTTGGAGTGGCTTATCTTAAAAATCCTTTCTAATTAAAATATTCTACCCTCATTATGAAGCAAAGAGAAATTCCATGAGTTATAAAGTTATAAGATAAGATGTTCCTTTTTTGATCCATAGGGGAAATTCAAATTGGCACAGGGCACAGAGGAATGTAGTGCAGAGTAAAGAAAGAGAATAAAATATGCATGAAAACTGATGTCAGTCAATGATTGTTTGGTGGTTTTAAAATATAAACTTCTCTAAATAAATCTTTGATTTCTCACCTTTTTAAATGTTCTAAAGTGTTTTAAACCTTGTTTTTAAGGGAAGTCCCTATAGACACAATCATTGTTTTCTCAGGCACTGGTCAATTTTGAGATTTTGGCTTCCATTTTGCTTCCAAAACATGGTTTCTTGCAGACTAGTGGAAAGAAAATACCCGAACACATTCACATGTTTAGCTGTAGATTTCTCCTTAAGTTAGAATCAGAATCAGAATCAGAATTGTTTGTTGCCAACTAGGTTTTTACACCTACGAGGAATGTGACTTGTGAAAAAATACAAATATACATATACATATGCAAATCGTTATCATTATATAATGCCTAATTTACATATTTAAACATATTGTTTATATATATGTATTCTATTGTATAATATTTAGGAAACTTTGAATACAAAAAGTAATTGTTTTACTGTAAGTAATCAACTGGGGAAGTTTCATGGTGATATCATCATATAAAAAGAGATAAAAACCTTTGACTCTAACTAACCTTTTGAACTTGGCTTTATCCAGTGGTCAGATTTCTGTTCTGGACTTGTATGCAAATCAGTGCATTTTTAATTAGAGAATGCCTCATTTACATATTTAAACACAACATTTTACCAAACATGTAATACAAAATAATTACTTTAATGTAAGTAATGCTTCATGCATCAATATGAATTAAAGAGAACTGCTTAAATGAAATATGTTTAAACTTTTTAAAGTATTTGTGATTGAAATCAGGGAATATCTGGCTAAGCATTTCATACCAGCTTTTCATATAGATGTACTGAGGTCTGACAACCAGTCCGAAGAACGCTGTATTCTCCACTAGAATTGTATTCAGACCTTCAGTTTAGGAAATAAAAGCAGTTATTTGGGGGAGGGGGTTGTCTTTGGGGGAACATGGACTCACAGTGTGGAAACAGATGCAGAGGCCTGGCAGCAGACAAACAGTTACACACTACACTGCCTCACCCGATACAGGACAAACATCTGCTACAGCTATTTACTACAAGTGCTGCTAATATCGCCGCACTAGAATATTATTGCTAATAATATAATATTAGTATTAATATTGCTAAACCAGGTTGTAAGTGATTACATGCTATTGGGATTAGGTCATTACAAAAAATAAGTAACTATAATCAGACCCGATTACATTTGAAAAAATGTGTAATTAGATTATAGTTACATTATCAAGGATTACTTGAATACATTTCTATTATGTATTTAAAATATGGCAAAAATGCAGAAACTTTTTTCACGATGCTCTACTAACCCTCTGGGCTCTAAAGATCTCGATAGGGGAGTGGGGTCAATCTCATGTTATTCCATTGTGCCCCACAGCCTCTGATTGGTTGACAAGTCAGAAACACAGCCTCTGATTGGTTGACAAGTCAGGAACACTGCCTCTGATTGGTTGACAAGTCAGGAACATAGCCTCTGATTGGTTGAGAGACTCAAGCCAAGACATCACAGGATTGGCAGTTGGCGGCTAACAGCAATGCTAACAACAACAATGGTTTTCAACAGGGAAAAATGGATAAATACTTACAGAAAACATTGGGTGTAATTTGATTTAACCAACTGTAAATGTTCAATATGCAAAATGAATTGTATTTGTGATGAAAATGTTTTGAGATGTATATATATATATAATAAAATCATATTTGTTGAACCCAAATATTTGTGTGTCAATTTATTTAGTATATGATGCAATATTTTCAATGTTTCTGAAAAAAGATTTTTAAGTTTTCTAATTTTTTTGGTGGATTATGTCACTAATTACAAAAAACCAATGTAATTTATATTCAGTAACTCACTACAATTCAAAGTAATCTGACCCAACACTGGGAAAAAACCCTCGTATTACTGGCTAGGTCCTCTGCTCATGGTTTTCCTCTGAAGGTTGAGTTTACAGCTTTATTTTTTACTTCCAAGGTCAAGTGAACTACGAAAATATTATATTACTAAATTGGGAAATAGGAGTAATAATAGGAAATAACTATGAAAGACCTTGTTCACCAAAATAATTAAAACATTATTTCCCACTTACCCCTATGCTATTTTTTACATGGAAACATGAACATCTATAAACTGTGTGAACAGATGATAGATAGATAGATAGATATATAGATAGATAGATAGATAGATCCATTAGTCGCCCCATAGCTAAACATTTAGTAGCAGGCCATAAAAAAGATGGATGAGTGATTATGGGAGTTAAGGGAGGCCATCTGCAGTCACAGCCTTTTGGAGCTCTGACAAAGTCCTCGGACAGTTTTATTTCGTAATTTACTCCTGCTTTGGTCATGCTGTGACATTTGATTATACGCCTTGTCTTGGATCTTTTCGGAGCGGGCCTCCTGCCTGCACCCTCGCCCGTTTCATTCTCCATCAGTGAGCTCAACATCCGCGCTGATGGATGTGATGTCTTCATCTGATACCCGCTCCCAAATGGAGAAACATTCACTTTTCCACGTAGGTTTTAATTTCATCTTTGGGAAGTGTGCTCTATAAAGTGCCGACCCGGGGCCCCTAGCTGCTCTGTTGTAAATATGGACCCCTGTGGCTGCACAGGCCCCCACTGACACTGCAAACATTAAAGAGCTGCACAAATCTATAAAAAGAGATGGGATTAGTTTCCCCATGTTTGTGACTGTCTCTCTTCAACTGTTAACTACAATAATCAGTGCTGGAAACACAGAAGATGTTCCAACGGGAAGAGATTTAGCTGAAGTTAAAACTTCAAACCTCCAAAGTTCTCCATCACCCAGCTTCCTTTTAACAAAAACTTATATGATTCTGTTGATTCTGTTAGGAAAGTAAATAAAAACATAATAATAATAATAGTAATACCTGCAGGAAGGTATTGAAGTGCAACCCCTTCCACAAACTGGACTTGCATATTTAATGGTGAAAAATACTGAAATTACCATTTTATTACACCAAATAAAGAAATATTCCATGTTTTTTATGTGATATATATTCCTTTTTTTTTTTTGCCAAAAAGTCAGACAAAGACAATGTGTTATTGTACAAAGGGGTGTTATACCATACTCTAAATCCTAACAAAATAAGGAAAGAAAAAATAAAGGAATTAATCTAACATAATTAAACGTCTAAAACATTTAGAGTCACGCATTCCCATGAATTAAACCCAACTCAAAAACGAATTGTTGAATTCATAACATTTTGAGTGTGCTTGGATTTGTGCAGTATTTTAAGTATTGGTGCTATAGTTCCAATTGGTTCCATTAACTCATTGTCTTTAAGTTGACTTTATATTATTACAAAAATGTAAGCCCCAAAGCCCCCAGAATAATTGGCTACCAGTTTGATAATCGATTAATTGTAAATTGTTTTTATCATACGTCAGGGGTTTTGAAAGATAATGTAATAATCTACTTTAGTGGAAGAAAACTGAATACATTTAATTTAAGTGATAACATTTGTATAAAGAAGACTCATTTAAGTAGTTTTACTTTATTAGGATAAATTCTGTTCACACATTTCAAATGAGTTTGGAGAAATGCTGCATACGACTGTCATATACTTACTAGTTTTAAGTACAATTGTCTTAATTTACCTTACCAATAAACTAATGGTTTTTAATTCATGCTTAAATTGTTGGAGTTAATATTTTTAAATTGTTTAAGGCAATCAGTTTCCTCAAACAGTTTGATTTGAACCAACCCATCAGGTTTTACAGTGCAGTATAGACAA